CCTTTTAAATTCCCCCAGCCCCCGGGGGACGTGCAAAGGCTTTCCTTGGAGGTTTTCTCCCTGGGCCAGGGCCAGGGAGGAGGCGGGGTGGCCAGATTAACTGGGGGATGGCTCCCAAATCAGAGTGAGAAGGGGCTTGGGAGGGGGCACAGCCGAGGAGTAAGAAGAAGGGGGCTGGCCCCTGGGGTGGGGAGAAGTGCCAGGGAGGAAGGGGCTTCTCCCAGGTGGGGGCCCATGGCTGGAAGGGCAGACCTCCAGGAGGGATCATGGGCTTCAGATGCCTATATTCCCAGCCGCGGAGCATCAATCAGGATTTTTTTTTGCCCTAGGCCTGGGCTTTCTGGGTGGGGAGGCTGTGGCAGAAGGAGGAACAAGATGCCTGTGGTCTCTATGAAGAGAAGACATCCATCCCTGCCCCTTCCTCCTAATTCCCCAAGTGAAAAAGTGATTGGCCTTCCCCCCCCCCCCCCCTCAGGCCCCAGCCTGTCTTGCTCTCCTCCTAAGCAGCTTTAGCTAATCCCATTAAGGGAGGTCTCAGGATGAACACTGTCCACGTGGGGCTGAGATCAAGGGGAGAAACCAGAGGCTTCTAATCAGATCCAGGATTTGGGGGTGGCCGTTTGCTCGGTGCTAACAAGCATAAAACCCCCCTCCTCACACCCCAGCCGCCATCTCTGTATTAACACTGCCGCCCTTCTGATCCCCACCCCCCAACTTGTGTACCTGGATCTCACCTGTGCCCACAGTCCCTTTCCACAACTCTGTTTCTCTGCTGCATTCTCTCTGACTCTCTTTCTTGCTGATTCTCTTGCTCTGCCTCTTTCCCTCCACCTTTGTGTTTAGAAACAGCCCCGTTTTCCCACTGAATCAATCAAGCAGTCTCTAGACTGGGTTGTGTCCAGTCCACCAGCTCCTGCAGCCCCTCAGAAGGCCCCACAACAAAATGACTTTTGATGCAAGTTTCTACTTTGCAGAGATGCAGTGTTGGTCTTGAACTCTCGCCCC